ACCTCTCGATGCGTCAAAAAGAAATATAACCCTTTGAATCCAAATCGAGGTGAAAGAAATAGAGAGAATACGAGAGAAAGAAAGAGAGAAAGTACAAAACTGCAGTACCTCATTAGATCTCGTTCAGTCATGCGAATCCTCGCTCTAAATGTCAACCCTTTTATCTTCCTTTACAACATTTCATTTAACTCGCTGGGATAAAAAAATTGAAGTAATTTTTGTGAATGTATTATTTCACTAAAAATACTATTTATCATAACATTAAAAATACTATTTATGAAAAAATTGATTGATATTAGTTATTAATGAGTTCAAATTGTCATTTATTGAAGATAATTTATAATAATGTAGAACTATAGAAATACATAACATCATTAACTTGTCCTGACTCATATTTGCTGCATCTAAAACATTTGCATAATCTCAATCGAATGTAAATTGATCATGACAAGTGAGAAAGTAAATAATATCTAAGCATCGGAGTAATTTAATAAATAACTCAGCGGCTTTGAGTAAATAAAATAAGATCGTAATAGGAGTCAAAGTCCTTTGAATCGATCAATTTTCTTTGCATTAGTTACGTCGTACGTTTTTGAGCGTTGTATATAAGAGAGGTAAGTTGTCTATCGTTTTATATACTAGAATAGGTGCACCTTTTAACAGCTAAATCGAAGTTGGCAGAGCAGACAGGCGTCGATAAATAAATCCGTACGACGGCTTGTGTATGTGTAATATGTATGTGTGTGTGTGTTTATGTGTGCGGCGCGCGCGCGTCGAAAAAAGAACTGGAACAGCTCGAGCTTTCTGCAAGTCACAGACCATTAATTTACTGGCGTTTACTCCAGTTTCGTTACATAGAGAGAGAGAGCGCCAGCTCGAGTGGACGACGTAGCCCGTAGGACGATGCATCATTCGCAATGTCGCACGCTAATTTAATGAAACCGATCGCCAGTTGTGTGTATGTATGTGTGTGTGTATACGTAACACCAGCCTGATTATTCATTCTCTCTTTCTCTTATGCTATATACACACTTGTGTATGATCCGATAGCGAGCGTGTATACACATTAAAAATATAATAAGCCGAGAGCGAGAGGCCCGGTCGCGCGTGAGACGGCAAGAATTTGCCTCGAAAACGGCCGAGGTCATTAAAATGCTAATATTCATTACGAGACTCCCGTTGTATCCTATATGCCGAAGCATAATTATTTTCGTGTATTCGCTCGTAGATTTATCGCAAAAGTACGCAAAGACTTTATGAATTTCAACTACATACGCGGGTTCAGGAATCGTCTTCCGACTCGTATATAGCCTCTCGAATCCATCGGTGAAATAAACCGTCGGATATTCGAAAAATTTTCATCGCTGCGATCGTTGAGCGAGTTTTGAGGAAAATTAAGCCGCATTAATTTCTTTTGCATTACTCATCGGGCTCGATATAATATACGACGGCGGCGGCGCGCGCAAAAAGTCTTGGAAATAAAAAGGTATAAACGCGCGCGCAATATGATGAACGAAGTACTTAGCTCGGTGAGTCGTGGCTCTCGATCGTTTTTTATTTTTCAACAAATTCACTCATAAATATCCGCCGAGAGCTGCCATTGTACAAAGGGCGCACACGTATACGGCGTTGCAGTAGTAAGCTTCCGCAGCGCTGGGCAAAAATTAACTAACTGCAGCAGCGGCAGCAGCGCGTGGAGCGGGGCGCGCGCACACAGAGTTCGGAGTCGCGCGCGCGAAGCCTTTCAAGCACCGATACATTGTAGCTACCTACGGGACATATTTCAAGATGTCACTTTTTGCTTTCTCTTGCTCATTTTACGCTCTAACGCGCGCGAGCGAGCCGTCGAGCGAAAGCGACTTGCGCTTTTTCGATCTTGCCTCGAAAATGAGGTGCTGTATAGAGTACGTCCCGCAGCAGCATATGCCGCGCGCGTTTTAACGCTCATCTTTCTTTTCGCAGCTCACCTCTTTACCTTTGGCACGCGCAACGTTACATTAAAGAATGCGTACGTATGTGCCGCGCGCTCGCACACATACACACTTTATTGTTATGCAGTTGCAGCACTTTGTATAATGATAATATACGCCGAAGCTTTTGATCATCGCCGACGCGCGCTGTCTTATGGCTCGAGTGCGCGCCAAGTAAACCGTTTCTCTAGCCGCGAGATAAAAGCTCGTTGCAACGAGTCGCGCCGCTGCTCCAAGTGGCAGCTATTATCGGGACTGATTCGTTGCTCGATTGCGTCTCGCGCATCGTTTGCCTACGAGACTCGTCGACCCCTCACCTTTTTCAGATCGCTCCATCGTCTCGATCGCTACGATCGGCTTCGAGAACTCAAATGTAAAGATGCGCCGAATGAATAGCTTTAGCTTTTTGATCGTCATTTTCTATCGCGAAGGAAGTGCTGTGCGATATGCGTGAATCATATACGAGGCGATCCGGACTTTGACGCCGCAGACGCGTGCCCTCGACGCGTATGCAACACCGCTGCGAGTGCACCACTACCAATTCGTCGAAAATTCTGTAACGTCATCATCGCCGGCTCGTTTCTTGCCGAAGCCATAATATCGCCTTCGATATTATTATATACATAATAATATACTCTTAGTATCTTCTCGCGAGCGATTTTTTGAGAGAAAAGTTGATACGATCAGCGAGAAGCATATTGCAATGTGCTTGTTTGAAATACAAACACGGTTCGACACACATCTTGTCTTTATGCGCTAATGGAGATACGTTAAAGATGATCCTTCTGCACATTTCGGGTACTCATGCTCCTATATATAGTAGCCCGAAATTGTTTCGTTAAACGTTAGTCAGGTGTAAATGATGAACAAAAATCGATATTTTTGAGCAATATAAGCAATCATTTTTTTATTGTACCCCTGAATTGTAAAACGTAACTTGGCAAAAGTCGAAATACAAGAAAATTAACAAATTCAATTTAAAAATGTTTTTAAATGTAAAAATCGCGCCAAATTAATTTTTTGAAAAAGTATTTGATTAAGTATAGCGCTTTGGAATTATTACAACATGTAGAAGGCAAATACCCTATCTCGATATTTTAACTCGAAGAAAAAAAATGATCTTATCGTTTTTTGCAAAAACTAATTGATAATTACCATTTGAGACGTGGGCATTTGGCATCGAGTAGATTTCGATATTAAAAAAGCAATTGAGCGCGTTCACCGAGACGATCGAGTGCATCCATTGGCGATCTAAGAGAAGAGCATAAAGAAGCGCAATGTCCGGCCGCGTTCGGTTCGCCACACACACACACGCGCGCGGCATGTATACGAGCCAGTGGCGAGGTGGCGTCCAAGTAGTCATGCGAGGCCGTCGTAAATCTAACGACCAATAGGAAGCAGTCCGTTCGCGACGAGCCTCGCATCTCCAATCGCCAAGACACACGGAAACGATTATTTTCCTTCGGCCGATCGCTATGCTAATCTCGCAACTTGCAGCGCCGCGCACACACTCGAGAGTCTCCTCTATATAGCACAAAAACGGCCCTCGCTCCAATGAGAGGCTTTCTTCGAAAAAAATAAAGAGAAAAATGGCTCGCAGCTTATTATAAGAAAGGAAGAGGAGTAGCGGCAGCAGCAGCAGGCAGATTATTATTACGGCCGAGGCCCGAGCCGAGCTGCTACCGCCGCTGCGTCGCTGCAACAAGCTCTATTTCGCTCGGAGTCGTAAAATCGAGTCCTCCATTCATGGGTAGAGATATGCACGCATATGCCGCGTACGGCCGAACGCATATATACTATATATGGCACGGGCTTGAAAATGAACCGATGCAGAGACGATGCACGTAACGGGATGCGAGAATATGATTTACGCCATGTGCGAGAAAAAAAAAAGCCAAATGAGTCGGACGTTGTGCTGCATTAAAATGGCTCGATATTAATTGGTTTCTCAACCTTCTCATCTCGAACTTTTTTCTCTCTTTTCTTACTTGCGTGCGTGTGTGCGGGTTCACGATCCATCGTTTTTAATTTCTACACTTGATGCAGGCTGCGCACTGGAAAATATAACTTTTATACACTTAAAATTTCGATGATTAACTCAAAAATAAAATCCAAAAAGACACACAAGCTGAGAATAAATAATGTAGTTATCGTCCTCAGTAACACCTCAAAAAGCACTTATAGAAGTAGTACCAGAATTTAAGTTTCATTGCTAATGTATGAAGAAACTTTATATAAAATATCTCGACAGTACACTACTCAAAAGAATCATTAGATAAATAGTCTTGCTCAGAGCATTAGTTTACTAACAATTTTGTTGAAAGGTTTTAGAATTAGAACCGACGGAAAAAAGAAAACCTGCAATATGAACGTAGACGGATGAAAGATGATAAAACGTTTGTATCACGAGATGCGTTCATCGATAAGATATTGACAAGCAGTAAGAACAAAGCTCGATCTATTACTCGTTTCATTTTATCGAGTCTTTATCAAATATTTATTAATTTCGTATAAAAAAGGGAACAAAAAACAATCCAATAGTTCGAGATACACCTAAAAAATAAAACAAAAAATTATCTTTGCGCATAAGCTCAAAACAAAACGACAATTTTACTTGTGCAAAGAAGCGTGAAGCAATTTATAAAATGATAAAATAACAATTAGTGATCATAAGCGAGCACATCCATAAATTCATAACTATTAATATTTAAACATGAAAGCCTTCAGGCGACCATAGCCGGCCAACGTTCGTGTACTTCGCACCCTGATATACAAATTTTTTCACGTTTTTTAATTTGCCAACTTTCACTTTCACTGTCTTCGATCTTCCTTTTTAAATATTCAATTGCATTATTTCTTATTATCTTCTTTTGAATTGAGAAAATTGAACAGTTTCAAAGTCATTGTCCTCTTTTACATAACATCATATAATACTGCTTATTCTTATGATGTATACAAATTAATTTGATTATTTAATGAAATAGAAGTAAAAAGAAAACAATTTAATTATCTAGAATATTAGTGAATTGATTATTTTAATAATTATTTTATTCAATTTTCATTAAAGGCTTTAAATATTAAAAACAAGTATTGATAAATTCTTTTGGTGCTCCTATACTATTTTACATTCATTAACTTTTTGTTTTAATTTGTTTACATTAAAAATGAGTAGGTACAAGTAAATATTACATAACAATTAAAACATTTAGAAGAAAAGCTAATTCATATGATGGTAAGCAGTAAACATTTTTGTTTCAAAAATCATAAAATTGGTGGTACAAGAATCTGACTATTGACACTATCTATAAACTCATATGGCAGTAGCATATTGTTTTACTATGTCTCTGTAAAATTCAAATATGTGGTGAACTGCTTCTCTACATTTTTTTACTGAAGTTACTAATTCTTCTTCTTTATATGAACCACTCGACTGACAGGTAATCAATTCTTTTTTAACACTGTCAAATACAAATGTGAAAACAGCTTTAGCTTTCTGTAAAAATAAACCAATTGGTATCATGAATAAAAGTTAAAAATAAATCTTTGATATAATAACTAGGTACTAACTTTTAGCTGTAAAGTATTTGGATCTAAAATTATGTTGTTTGATTCTTCATCTATCATGCAACATACAGCGGCAAAAGTATATTTCATAGCTAAACCAGAGTTGATTAATGCTAAGCAAGAAGAATTGAAAATACACGCCAGTGACTGAAAAATTAAGATATTTAGTATCATTATAAACACAATTTTGATAATGTTAATAACCACATTGAGAAAAAATTAACTCTGAAGAATGAATGATTACATACACTGCCATTATCTTCAAGTTCTTCAATACTTATTTGTATCATTGTGGATGGATGTAATGATGTAAGAAGGGCACTTTCACAGGTTTTAGCTATATATAATCGTATAAGCTGACCTTCATCACCTGTAAAATTTTTTTCAAAACAATAATCAATCAAACTTTATACTTGTAATGGTATCCATACAATTTTTAATGATATCTACCTGCAAGTCTTTTTTCATTCTTAGTCTCATAAACTGCTTGCACAGTAGCTTTATTGTAAATACTTTTGGTTTGTTTAACTTGCACTGGACCATTAACTCCAGCAAGTATCACCGTTTCACCTGTGAAATAGATTAGTTATACGATTGATAGACTGCTTGAAATTAAATGAATGCTTGACAGTTTACAACAATACCTTGTTTAAGAAAAGCCGAGCCATCGGAATTTGATAAATAATTAAGCTCGCAGGCCATCGGTCTGAATGAAAATTCGACAGGAGACATTTTTTTTATATTTAAAGTCACTACTAAATTTAATCCGTCACACGATGTCAACTATTTACGAAGTGTGTACTGTGTTTTTCACTACTAAATTTAATCCGTCACACGGTGTCAACTGTTTACGAAATGTATACTGTGTCTTGTACGGTAAACAAAAAGTATATTACAGGTTATACCGCTAGCGTTGAAAATTAGCAAAATACCAATGAATCCCCATACAGTGACGCACGCGGTGTAGCACGCGCAAATATAAACAATAATCAAACGCTCTGGCGGTAGATTGTCCGCACTATATCGCGAGCCAATGCCGTGCGCCGATTCGAGTGCGGACGACTTTACTCGCGGCGAGTACACACGACCATCTTCGGTCGGTAAGCGAGAGTAGCCGCGGTAAATACGAAATATAAATACGAATTTCTTTCGCATCGGCCACCGCGCGAAAAGCTGCTCTGCACTAAACTTCGCGTTCTCAAATGCACGTCGCGCGAGTAGGGGGAAAATAAAGATCAAGGTGATTTGCACACACACGGCACTCGGATTGGCACGCGATAAATATTATTTGTGTTCATAAGCACAGTAAATAGAAAGTAGGTGTATCGGGAGGCCATGCGAGCTCAGGAAGTGGCGCTTTAAATTCGCACTCACACACACGCGCGCGAGTGCAGACTCACGTTGGGATACAACACGCGGGCGCACGTGTGTGTGTGTGTGTGAGTACAGAGAGCGAATGTATAATATAGTAAGGGCCACGGCACAGCAGCAGAGTCGTTGGCCAAGTCAGGCGCAGCATCAGCAGCTATATACTTATGCGCTGCAGTGTGCAATATGTATACGTGTGGAGAGTAGGCGGCTCTCTCTTGGCGTGCCTGCAGATATTATACACACTCGCACGACCGATTAGGTAAGCCGAGTTCGAGAGCAATAGTAGTAGTAGTAGTAGTGGAGTTTCTAAACAGAGTAAATAGATCGATAGCTGTTTAGTTGCCAAGCGCCGGCACACATGTATGTGCCCTGTACGTAACAACTGTTGCCTCTTTTCTATTTTTTTCAACTTTTTTTTATTGGTAATCAACGTTATCGTCAAATCGTACACGTGCTTGAATACTTTTGGTAGACGACGGAGCGATTGAAGCAGAAAAATGACGAGGGACTCTCGAGAAGCTGCTCGCGGGCCTCTAATCGTCGTACGGATCCGGATTGGAGTCGTCGTCGTCGTCGTCGTCGTCGATACACTCTTCTTCCTCTGTTGTCGGCCCCCAAAAATAAAAAGAAGCAGAGATGGTCGATTAGAAAATTTCTCGAGTTGGACTTATCGGCGGGGGCCGTCGATGATAAAGCCCCTCTTCTTCTGCAGAAGAGATATGTACGAACCGTCGTCTCGCTCGGGCGGCAGCTGCGAGATGCGCCATGCCTCCTCGTCCGCGGGGGTCGGATCTGTCTCCTCCTGGAACTCGAGGTCCGAGGCGGGCACATACTGCTCCTGCACCGGGGGCATCGCCGGCGGACTGTAATTGTAGGCCTCGCGCTTCGTGCCCCAGCCGATGTAGACGTTGCCGAAGCATCTGTATATACACGAACACAAGAGCAGCACTATAAGCTCACACGATTCCGTCGCGCACACAGAGAGAATATTAATCGCTACCGGGGGCAGAAGCTTCGACTACGGCTATCGATTCGATATACGCTATCTCAAATGTAACGAGGTCATTTCACAAGGTTGGCTTAGCATTTCCAAATATCAGAGACCTTATTTGCGCTAAGACAGATCTGTGCTTCATCTGTATATCAACCAAATTAAGCATCTACGCTCGCTAAATTGTCAAAAGCTTGCCGTGCACTTGGCTCTCGACCGATACAGAAATTTAATTCTAATGTCCTCGCGTACATATAGCACTCGGTATTTTCTCGAAACTCGGGAGAAAGAAAAAAGCTCCGCGCTCAATTTCCTCGGCGCTTTAACTAACTTGTCAGCGGCAAAGGTGTAAGCCCCGGGCCAGATATTGGATCGTAAGAGGGCGACCGCCACGTCTGGCTGGGCAGAGGAGGAGAGCCTCGCCGACCACGGGATCGCCCCGTCCGCAGCCACGTCTTCGGACAGCGGAGTCAAAAGCGGTGGCCCTATTTCCTTCTCGTATCCGAGCTCTTTCGCCTTCCGGCTGATTCTCGAGCTGCGCCTTTCCTCCTCGTTGTCGTCCTCCATGCCTTCCTCGGATTCGTCCTCGCCCTTTTGCAGCAGCACACACACACACACACAGAGAAAGAGAGAGAGAGAGAGCAGAAAAATGTCAGTTTGGTATTATCGTACTGCTATATAAGGTCGAGCGGAGCGAGATGCAACTACGTACGACTACTAGTCTCATTATTGAATTCCGATAAAATTTCGGGCTATAGGAGTCAGAGATTAATGGCCGCGAGTGATTGCATTCCCCGAGACTCGAAAATTTATAATTCTCGATTAATTTGCATAGGAGAGAGAGGGAGAAAAGCGCGAAGAGCAGCGCAGCGCACGGGCCTCGATTACGTAATCGCCAAGGTAATAAAAAAGGCCGAGAGCTTCTTCGATTTTCAATTAGAAAAAAGTCGTGAATTTTAATGGCTGTCGCGATTGCCCCGCAGGTTTACAAGAGCTACAGCGAGGAATATCGAGCAATATAACCTCGTACTCGTCCTGGCTGGCGTCGTCGACGTCGTCCTCGGTCTTTCCTGGCTCGAGCCAGACGGTGCGGCCCTGCTTCAGCAGGTAAGGACTGTGGTGACACCAATTGCACATCGACGGATCGATTAGGTCCTTGAGCGCGGGCTGCTCGTAATTGCGATTTATCGCGATATCGCCGCCATCCTCTGCAAAGATAAACAACGAAATAGAGAGAGATACAATTGTCGAAAATGTCGTTACACGATTTTTACTGATCGTCGCATGGGGCTTCTAAAGGAGCGCACGAGTTTGCATCGATAATCATCAAATTACGGGAGAATCGATTCGGACAGCGAGTAGCGCAGTACTGCAGCGCGGACGGATTAATAATTAATTTCATGGCCCTTCACAAAGAGTAGAGCGCAACTTTGCGTCGGTTAAAAATGCGACGTTTTAATTAATGCGCGCATGGGTCAAGTAGCGCTTGCAACGACGCGAAATCGTACGAAACCCGATCACGTATAGATCAATCGGAACACATTTCGAATGGCGCGCAGGCCATACGACATCCGGACGCGCGACCCTTTGAAAATATTGTTATTAAATTCCAATACACGACGAGAGGGCTCCCTCTCTCTCTCTCTCGTACTTCGTCTCTCGCCCTCGCCCTCCTCTCCGTCGTCCTCTTCGTCGTCGTCGTCCTCCTCGTCCTCCTCCTCGAATTCGTCGTTGTCCTTCTCGCCTCTGGCTCCTCCTCGGCCGAACGTAAAATAGCCCAGCGGGGAACAGTGCGTGGCCGCTTCGATGCGAGCAATCTGGGCGCGCAGATAATTCTTCTCGCATCCGGGAAAAGGCGGATACGTATGAACCTAGAGAGAGGAGAATCGTCACCCGAGAGAAAAATACGTAAATACTCTCGCGTACCATGGCGCGCTCGCTCGCACTTTCGCCGATTCACATGGCCGCTCGAAATTTATCGACGGAATAAATAAATAAATTCGGTCCTCTTACCTGCTTGCCCAACGTACCGCTAAACATATAGACCGTCTGTCGAGCCACCACGATTTGTGCCGGCGTCACGGGGGGAAGTTCCGTCCATCCGTCCAAGCCTGGACGATTGCATACGAAATATACCTGCTCATGGCGATTCAGTTTTTTTTTGCATTAGAAACATTTTTAAATTCATTCGCGCTATTTTCACGAGGCTAACTGCAACGAGTCGGTCGCACTCTGCTATGTGCAGTGTCATCGCAACGATCTCGATTTTTAGATGAAATTAACCTTTGCGTTCGCGCCAGTGCCAATTTTTTCCGGCGCTACTTCCGGCGTCGGCTGCCACGGGTTTTTCGGCATCGGCGGATAGACAAGCTGCAGTCTCGCTTTGTCGTCAGCCGTGGAAATGGACTCGGCTTCTCTGGCCTCGTTCAATAGATTGGTCGCCAGTGCCTGCTCCAGGGCTACATTTTCAGCGAGCTCTTGCGACTCGTTGGTGCAGGAGCGGGTCGTTACGCTCAGGCGTGACCCTACCTCCGCTTCCTATACTAATGAGCGTTTCGTGAATGAACCCCGCTTATCTTTGTGCATCGACGCGCAGTTCAAGAAATACAATCGAATGTATATTTTACTTCTAATCGACGCTGCAGCTCCTCGTCCGTTAAGGACGCCTCGATGATGTAGTAGTTTCTCGGGTTGCCTATGATTTTTCCCCAGAAGCTGAAACGAATGCGTTCGATAAAAATATAATGAGCGCGAATACACAAAACCGATGGCTTTTTCGTTGTTATTACCGCACATTTTTTATCTTCTCCTTGGCGATCAATTTTCTGATGCTCAGACCGAGGTAGACGATATCGTCTCGTGGTAGAGCTACGCCGACTTGCTGGAAGTAGTAAAATAGCTTCTGCAGATCCGGTGCGTTTTGCCTCATTTCGACGAGGCTCTCCTCGTCCTCGTGACATGTACTGGTGCTATGGTAATCTCCATGTCCAGGAGGACTTATCTGCGCGAAAAATTGCCAATTGTGAAATTTCCTGCTTTTTAATCAAATTTCGAGCTTTCTCTTAATATTATCGCTCGCTTCTCTCTTACTTTAAATAGTTCAACGAGTCGTTTGGCCTCGTCGTAGGCCGGAGGTGGCTCGTACAAATCGCGCAGATGACGATTTTGATTCGAAAACTTTTGAGCTCGCAATTCCCGACTGTATTTCTCGAATGACGCGATCGCATCTTTTGGCCGCTCCTTCAGTATCTTCGTTAAAACTTCATTGAGATGATGGGATCTTGAAATAGAGAGATGCAATACAAATGAAAAGTAATCCCTTGACTTTTGTCACGAGTGAAAATCGCAACTCACAAGCTATCCCCAGAAGACGGACAAATCTGCTGCAAGTAGTGCTTGGATCTCTCCAACTCATCCTTGAGTTTCAGCTTTTCGCACTCATCGTCGTATTTTCGGCCTTCGTTCGCTCTGCCCGATTGCATATTTCTGCGTAACAAGTTGTTTGTCTCCTTCTCTTTTTCGCTCTTTTCCAATTTGCGTTTTTTCGGGGACTGCCGGCAGCGGCTAAACTTTCACATTGACACGCAAGTCGATGCAAACATGTTTTTATCTAACCTCTGCACAATGAGTCAAAAATGCGGTAGCGCGCATAACAGACGAAAATCGCACGTACCCCGTACATCTAGTGAAGATCGCATGGTTATTTATCGTTTATTATTATTTTTCTTTTTTTCAACTGAAAGAAAAATAACATCACTTGCTTATCGAGCTTTGACTATGAGATGTTATTTTTATTCAGTTAATAATTCGCGTTTAATCGCACTGGAGCTAAAAATATCGCCATTGCTTTGCTCTATGATAGCGCAGATAAGGTACTTGGAGGTTTTTCTCTCTCTCGTTCTCTTCTTCTCTGCCTCTCTTGCCCTCTGCCTCTGTCCATGTGCACAAACACTTCCGTTGGCGCTTTCTGATGTGATCGGAAGTTTCGAGCGGATGTGTTCTCGCGACGATGACAAAAACAAGAAATCTCGGGTATAAGCGCCAGTCACCAGCACAGACACGCGCGAGTGACAATACAATTGCGGAATACACATTTAGATAATACTCGAGTGCCATCGCCGATGGAACGTATAGTCATTCACGAAGAAGACTGATGCAGAGAGAGGCCGATGTAATTTTTTAATTTTACGCTTTTTTTACGCAGCTTCCAAGATGACATTTCAGGGTGGGTTATCTATACTTCTTGAGCGTATCAGTTATCATTTTTCTACATCCAAAATTTCATCACATTTGATTGGGGAAGTCGTTCGGCAAAAAGAAGTTGATAGAAACGCACCAAATGATTTTGATAGATTTGGGACGCAAAAAGTGGATCAATAAGAATTTTACAAAAAGATTTATTCACATGATTTTTTGGAACAACAAAAGCAAAGGCCGTATACGCATTTACACGTACGCAAAGTAGTATACGTTTACCCGCATCTTCTAATCGCACAAATATATGCGTGCAGTATAAATGAAATAATAACAAGCATCATTCGTGTATCGAGAATGGCCTATATACGCAAATCAGAAGCTATGCTCGAGGCCGTTGTTCATTTCCTTTAACACCCGCCTACGCGTGGCTATAAAAGCTCGTCACTTGTTGTTTATTTAATCAATCTTTTTGCGCTATGCGTTTAACCATGAGCTGCACGATGAAGAAAAAACATAGCGGCGTTAATTGAGAATGTTTCGGGTTCCTGAATATGCACACAACGGTATGATTTTTCATATTTACGCTGACACTATTTGGTTTTACGAATTTTCACTTGATACATGAAGACGATCCACTATCAGATCAATAGTGTGAAATTTTATGAATTCGTCAATAAAAATAACAATTGATTTTACTCTTAATACAAAATAGCATTTTCTTAAAACTTTAAATTTAAATACATTAGTCATTTTCGGTAGCATTATTATATAAAATTAACATACCGAAGAAAGTTTTGTAAACATCAAATAATAATTGATACTAGAACTCGTGACAAAATATCAATGAGTTATGTATAACAAATGAACATACTGACGATGACATGGAATCAAACTTTGGTAAACAATCATTCGATATTATCTGTTTCGCATTGCTTTACACAGTACAGTAAATTTATATGAATTCAATATGAATTGATTATCAGATAATCGTCAAAATATTCAAAATTAACTTTAACGGAAGAAACCTAATCTCAAACTATCAGAAATGAATAATAACGCAACCGTTTTATTGTACAATTTATTCATTCATGTTTTCAAAAATAAATAAATTAATTTAAATAAGGAAACGTTAGTGATTAAAACAATGCCAAACGACATTTTAGAAGTACTGTATTTTAATCAATTACAAGTAAATTCTTTATTCAAGCTTAAAGAAATTATAAAATGTATGAACATGTAAATGTGACTATAAAATCAAAAAACCTCCACTGTCCTCACTAATATTCAACAATGTCGGCATCAAGTTATGCGGGGCATTTGTCCTTGCAGAGCTTTCAACCACATCCTGCGCAAGCACGTGCGATATGCGAATTAACGGCATGAGCTTGCCAGAGCGACTGCTATTATTATATCTCTGTGCACAAAACAATATTTGCATGCTATGATTACGAGTTGCACATTCAAATCACGAAGTATCGTTTGATTGTCGCTGTTGAAGGAGATTTACTTTATGAAATCTTTGCCAGGGCTGCGACGACTTCTAACCACAAAGAGGTGTTGATGGATATAAAACTGCGACTTCGCCATTTTTTTATTCGTACTCACTTTATTCAAATGTCTTTTCTCAATGGATCTACATTGTATAAAGAGAGACGTTGTATAAAAAAAATTGATTTTTTCGTAGAAAAGCTTCGCTTGTCATCTTCTGTATAATTTTGCACCTTAATAAAATATCTTTCGATGATAAGTGGTAGATTTCAATAATTTGATTAATCGATGAATAAATGAGGAATAATGTTATCTGCCTAATGGATCAGTAAGTTGATTTAATAGAGGTACTATACCATGAATCGAACAAAATTGAATATGTAAAGTAAACATAATGTTTCGATAGAAAATCAATAAAAAATTAATGCAATTTGAAAAATGCTGTTTACTCTCAAATACAGGATTGATGCGAATACGATGTGGGCCCGCAGCGGTTGCAGCAAATTCAACGGGATAAAATTTCAAACCACCACGAATTGCTTTACTTATTCTCTTTCTTGCTTTTGATGCTGCTGCGATGCTGCTGCTGCATACACAAACCCGAAGAGAGCAAGAGACAGACAAGCATCAAATTTCATGTGGAACGACGACGACGACGAGGAGGATCAGACGACGCATGCTATTGCAACTACGGAATGTCAAAAACGCTGATAAAACGTTTGCAGCGGAGCTCCTCCACCGTCTCTCTTTTTTGTCTCGTCCCGATATCCTTTTGTTCGAGCGAGAGTATTAATTTATCGAGTGCAGTGGTACTTTACACTCCCTTTGTAGAATAAATCGTCGCGCAGCTAGCTTCGATATACACAAGTGCGAATAGGAATATATATCGGTCATCGTCCGTTCTCTCTCGCGCGCGCACGAATCGATCTTTAATATTTATGAACCACTCGATGCTGCTGCAGGCGCACACACCAACTCAATAGGTTGCTGGAGTAATTAGCAATTCCACGGTGGAATGAAAGTTGGGAAAACGTTCGATCAATCGGTTGTATCATGCAGTAAATGTGCGGCATATACACGGACTCATTAGTCTTTTGTTTACTCGGCCGTGCGACTGCAGTAAACAGCAACAGACCTGTGTATTCGCGGTCCACGCGGAGAAAGAAAAAAATTAGAGAAAGAACATTTGAATAATTCATATAAATTACTTTTGCAGTGGGCAGAGCATGATTTTGGTGGGTATAAACCAGTCGCCGTCGCATACGTGAAATGCTTACACAAGTTTTCTTCTTTTTCGGTACTGTAACATGCAGACTCGCGTATGTATACAAGTATATATGTGTGCATCATTCGATTGTGTGAGAGAACTGAGTCGCAAGTCTTTGGAATCAAAAAAGCCCAAGAGGGCCAATGATGGGCCATTGTTCTACGAGCACATCAGGTCAGTATGCGTAAATACCTTTATACTTTTTTGCGGCGCACTCGCCAACTTTACGACGGCTTTAATTTTGGCCCAACTCGAGTGTTGTTGTCCTTCTGTGTGCGTGTGTGCATATACCTACTGTTTGTATTTACCGGGTTTGTTTCAGCTGCGAGAGGCTTTTGTGCTCTACAGATACTTTTGACATTTCGTATAGCGCACGCGAGCAGCCTACATACGCGAATCGGAACGACAATAAATTAATGAAAAAACGGCTTTCAAAGTTGTTGTAATTACAGTAGGCATATGTATAACATATCGAGAATGATATCATTTCCGTCAACTCGAAGAAATTGGATCCACATGAAGTAAAATATTATCGTAGCCGTCTCGCACGCTTTAACTTTTTGACCTTTACAGATATAAATTGAGATGCTTTATACGGACTAGAAAGAAAGAAAGAAAGAAAGAAATAATGAGACGAGCTTCATCTTATTTTAGATTCCGAAACCTCCACATGTTAGCTACTGATGGAGCTTATATTATTGCCTGTTACCTCGATACACATACTGAAATTTGTACGGCGAGTATATATTACTTAGGCAAGCAAAAAGCCGCTCGATGCACGCCTCGCGATGTCAATGGAATTCGCTGCAACTGCTAAAAAGCGAATTACCGTTTTATTGGTCATTGACTCGTTGAGTATTATTCATTGGCACAAAAACCAGACTTGATGATATTTTCTTTGCCTCGTTATAATGCAGATTGAAAATTAAATCATGGAAGCTATATTTCACATTTAACAGAATTATATAGTTTCGAAAATTTTCGCTCAATAAGTTCGATTCTTTTTTTCAAACGTTTTGGGATTCATCCGGTCACGCGCGCGCACGCACGGATGAATCGAATAAAGTTTTGTCAAATTTGAGAGAATCGAATAAAATCAGTTAGAAAAGCATGCCAATGAAAATGGGTTCGGAGCACGACTTTCTCACATTATAATTTTAAAACATTTTTATCAATCGAGATATTAATCCTATCGTTAGCAGATAGTCGTTAGCGATTGTGTAAAGTCGTCCAGCGAGCACGTGGTTCGTTCCCACAATTTATGGCCGTTCCGTAAAATCGTATCCGAAAAACCCATAAGTCAAGCAGTCAAAATTATGGGGCGAGCACTCGTAGTACGCGACGTCGCGATAGTCATCCTCTCGCGTACTCGATTAAAGCGAGCTTTTGACGACGACGACGATCAGTCGGCGCATCGGCAATACGATCGTAATAATGAGAGCTGCCGAGTCAAGAGCGCGCCTATGACAAGCTCGCTTACGCAGCTCGTTGCTGTACGGAGAGGAGAGGGTTTTTTGTTGTCTCTCGGTCTCTCTGTGGTTTCGCGGGGGCGTCTCTCTCTCTCGCTCGCTCTCTGGATCGCGATGGGTTCTTTTAGCTTGAATGAATGAGAAGCGAACCATCCCCACCATCATCGCGTACATACACACATAGACGTGTATCATCATCGCAAACCGCCGCGTACATACGCGCGCAACGATTGAACGCAAGAAATTCGCCGCACGGTCAGTTTCTCGTTCGTCGCGTGCGAGTACGCGCTCTCGCCTTCGTCGTCATTATCGTCGTCGTCGTCGTCGTCGTAGTCGTCGTTTTATCATAAAGATATACGCGCATAAAAAGACCAAGAAGAAAAAGATATTTTTTTTTATTTTATCGACGTAGTGGTGCTGTAGTGCCATCGTGCCTGCTGGGTGGTGGATTTTTAACCCGCAGGTAGAGAACCGAAAGGGGGAATAAAACGGGATCGATCGATCGTACAGAGAATAAAACAAAAAAAAAAGGGCAAAAGAAAAACAAAAAGTTTTACAGTTGCTGAACGGAGATACCGATCGAGTCAAAAGGGAGCCGAAAATTCATCACGGGCTGTTGAATCAGCCCGGTGAGATAGCAAAGACGACGACCAACGCAGCACCATGATCGGCACTTCTGGATTTCGGTTAGTGTTGCCTTTATATGTTGTGTTTTTAGATTTAATTTTTGTTGACCTGTGCGTTCCGCGTACCTTTAGAGAAGGATTTTTATTTCGCAATAACTTTTTAACTTATTCTCGTTGAATATGATAAAGGAAATGAAGCTCTTCAATTTTCCAGTAGATATTACTAATTTTTCAAAACTTTCCTCGGCAAATATTGTTCACGATTATAGTTAGAATTTTTTCATTACAAATTGTAAAATATCGTTTAAAAAATGTCGAACAATTTCCAATACACTTTGAACCCTGATTATTTTCAATGGGCAGGTATTTTTCCATTAAATTTTATTAAACACGTTTCTTCATTGTTTGCTAAAAATGCTAATAATATCGTAAAAAAGCATTAAAAAAAAAAGGTATTGCGAGTCAAAAAGTCCTGCGCACGAATACAATCGACTTTGAATAAAAAGTGACCAAAAGCACATTGTAGGCGAATCAAAGCCAAACCGGAGAAACTTTGATTCTTTGAAAGAAAAAAAGGATTAAAGGCTTATGCAATGGTGCGAGCGAGCGAACGAGCCATAAGTGTGCGTGTGCGTGTGTGTGTGTGTGTGTGTGTGTGCGGGCGCGCACGCGCTCGGGGCGCAGTTCAAATATCGCGTCTGTGAAAAAATGCTTATACCCAAAAAAAGAGTTGCACGCGCTTATACTCGAGACTCCTCTCTCTCTCTATGTATATGATTACTTCGATACTTATATATAGCTTTGGTTGCGCTTATACATGTATAGAGTCGGGTCCGAGCATAAGCAGGAGGAGGAGGGCCAAAGGACGATAAAAAGGAGCGACGAGAGTCGAGAGCAATTAGCCAGAGTCTGTGGTCGTATATACCTGTGTGCATGCAGCCTCTTCTCGATCGGTATAGGTGTGCTAGTAGTGCACGCGTGTGTGAGTGAGTCGAGCCACTGCGCGCTCGCATATTCGCGCGGTGCGCAGCCTCCTCTGGACTTCCCGCGCTTTGCGCTTTGCCCAGAGAGAAAGAGAGAGAGAGCTGAACCTGCCGTGTGCATGCACTGCCTCAGTCGTTCGCCAACCTCCGTCAGCGACGCGAGAAGCGTCGATATATATACATGTTCGTACGACGATATACCTAGCTAGCAGCGCGCGAGCTTTTGATTATCGTAATATAACCGCAGGTGCGAGCTGTGCAGAGCCCCCCGCCGCGAGCGCGCGAGCACACGCTTTCGGCAAAAGTAGCTTGTTCGGCAGAAAAAAAAGAAACAAAACGAGAGGAGTATAAAACAAAAATAACGAACGTTGACAAGTATATAGAGCTCGACGTAGTATATGCAACGTATTTGAAAGTGCAATGACGACGAACTTTTAATTGGGTGCCCGAAACACAATCACACACACACGAGCTGCGAGTGATTTGATCGACGCGGCTGCAGCAGGATCATTTTAATTTTGGTCGGCGGAAAATATTATTGAGGTTTTGAAGTACGAGCGACGGTGCCGAGACTGGCCCGTCTTCGACGCCGGCTCATGACGACACGCCGGGACACGTGGTTTGTTGCTTATACATACTTTTTTAATTCTCTACTATATGTGCAGTATACATATATGATACACGGCAAAGCTCTACCTTCTCTCTCTACATTATTGCATGTCCGCGCGATACACCCGATACTCTGTTTTCATTCAAATCCAATAGAGCAGCTAAAAAGCGTATCCATCCGGTCTATACGCTACGTACGTCTATAATTTAAACACAATAGAGACACGTACACATTATTATTGCGGCTGCTGCTGCTGCTCTCTTTTTGCGTCAACGCGCGTAATCGCTCCTTGGCTCGTATTTCTGCGGATCTATCTAAGAAACCGAGCTCGAAACTGTAGGCACATCTTTATCTCTTTATGGTCGTCGGCACGTAGTCTGTGCCGAACGTCGGCGCGTGTGTAATAAGTTTTACATATTTTTATACGGAGGCTGCTGTGGGTCATGTTTTTCGGCGATGTATCCGCTGCGTTATCGAACCGCCCGAGAGAGAGAGAGAGAGAAATTTCTCCGCGGCATCCTATCGTGTCGCACATGGGTCTCTCTCGCTCTCGATGTAGTCGGGCGTCGAGCATCGAGGAAAAGGCCTTTGAACTTTGATTCACGAGTCCACGCGTATTATATACCCTCGCGGCTTATCGACTTTATATGCCGCTGCTGCTGCTCTTTCCTTGAGTTGTGTGCTATGCAGATTCGTTTCAGCGCTTCTCACGCCGCCGCTATACGTGTATCAAGATACGTAGTGCTTTTGATTTTTGCCTTCGTCGCCAGAAAAAAAAATTAAGCTCCGCGACTCTTTGACTAGTGGCGGGAAATATTTTCGACTGCAATTAAACCTCGTTCTCGTTATTGTAACATTCGTTTAACCGCGCGGCCAAGGAGAATTAAAGACTCGCCCGGTTTATTCCGCAATAATGCGCAACGGCGACAATATAAGAACGGAGAACGCCCATATCGCAATTATTTCGTGTGTATTTTGTATATGCACACAAGGCTCGAGCTTGGGCAGCAGCTCTTTGCTGGGTCCAAGGAACGCGCACAGTGAGCGCGTGTAATTAAAAACAGGACACATCGCACTTTCTCATTTCACCCGGCATAGCGCGGCGCGCGTGATGGAATAGTAGTGCGCGCGACAGGCGTAAAACGACACCCTCTTTCAGTGGTAGTGGGCCATTTTCTTTACAGCTCAACCACTGCAGGTTTTATTGTGTGCTCGCATTAAAACCTCTTTCACGGCATAGGGCATCGTTTGTATACGTGTGGCGCGGCGACGAACCGACAAACTCACTCACACACACACACCGGAGCAGCAGACGATTTTGTTTCTCTCTTTCTCTCTTCCTCTTTCTCGTACGATCTTCTGCATGCGTCTGTGTTCCAACTCATCGTCGACATTAAAAAAAAAGAGCCCTCCAGAAATTCCAGTTACTGTTACTGCCGCGCGCGCACAGGTACGCGCTCAGAGTCCACGTACGATCCGATCATCCTTCCCCTCGCTTCGGAGCTGCGGAGTATACGTTTAGGGAACTTTCTATTACTCCGAGTCTCGACTCTTGAGCGCGTTACGTTTAGCGCAACGGTTCGCACGTTCTATCATCATCGGTGCAGTACGCGAGCGAGCTCGGGATCGAGAGCAAAAGAGAACGAATACGAGAGAGAGAGAGATGGAGAAGAAGCGGGCGGGCAGAAACACTGAAGCGATAACACGATTTATGCACTTTGATTAAGGTATAAGCTGAGAGAGAGAGAGGAGAGAGAACGATTGATTTCTTGAGATTATCATGCGCAGTGTGCCTAGTCCAGTAATCGAAATCCCTCTTTTGCGATACCTCGGAGCCTTGAGAATCACATAAAACTTGTAATACCCGTTGATTCAATTTCCATTATCATTATCGACGCCTATAAGCATTTAGACTTGCAGAGAGAGAGAGAGAGGCTGAGCCAAGACAGGATCGAGACTGCGCACTTTTTTGCTCGCGCTGCGCTGACAATAATTGCGTCGATAGGCAACGCTTTAACGAAAGAGATCCTTTTTACATTTTTACACTCTTCATTCGTCTCTAGCTTCTCCTTTCATTCATCCGATATCGCGTGAATTTTTTAGCTCGCTTGCAATGAATAATAAATTCTTGATGAATACTGAATAACTCGAGCTTTTTGTGTCGAGTGTTACATACATATATAGCGTATGTATGAATGAAAAAATTTTACACGAGCAGCAAATGGTGTAAGTATTATAATGTACGAAACCACGCGATGCAAATAACTCGGCATCGATGAGTGAGTAGTGCTCGAGCGCGTGTGTATGTGTATGTGTAGTTGCAATTAACACAAGTCGTACGCGAGCTTTGAAGTTAAAAAGTCTAAACACGGAGTGTAGACGTACGTTCACCCGTGAAGCAATTCGCCGTGTTTATGCGAATGAAAGCGAACCGATATACCTCCGAGCGACTCTGCGTGACTGTCAATGAATTTGTCAAGTCTCGCGTAAAATAGTTGACCTTTACACGTAGAGTTCATGTTTCCGCTTTAACTGCTGCTTGCAGTCGATACATTACATATTTGAATATTCTCTTATTATGTAAACCGCGCGAAATCGAGCGTCATTTAATTTCTCTACTCTTTATACTCTATTTTGAAAAGTTACGTACACAAATTCCCTATCGATTTAATACCTCAAAGAATTAATATTTAAGGCAAAGATTATTTTTGCAAGTTTCGCCGAACGAGCGCGCGACATATCGACGGTGCAGCAGCCGCTGCGCGATCGCTCATAAAATTCCAGCCCCGCCGTGAATGGTGCCATTGACCGAATTATCGCGCGGCTCGCATAAAGCATATCGGGGATATAGACGCGGCAGCGGCGGCGTCGTCTTATACATATACCTTTTTCATTAGAGCTAAGCGCGCTCGTGCATCGGCTAAAATATTTCCCCTGGGAGCACTTATTAAAAGGCACGTGTGAGGTTTTTAATAGACTCGCCTTTGCAGTGCTTCGCGCAGGCACGAGTGAGCGAGCGAGACACGGAGTGTAGAGATATAGCTGGATCCGAGAGAGAGATATAGGGATTGGATATGCCACCTGCAGCACGTATATATATAGAGAGAGAGAGGAAAGCTGTGTGCATATTTTTGCGGCCTCATTGTCAGAAGCAGCGGTAACAGCTAGCAGCAGCCGAAAGAGCAGTCGGTGCGGTGGCGGTGCTGGTGGTGGTGGTGGTGCCAGTGCACTGGATAGCGGCGAGCTTTCTTCGCTTATATCGTTACTGCATCTTGGCAGAACAATGGTATATGTTAATTCAAATTCTCTGCTGGTCCTTACTTTTGAGGCTGCTGCTGCGGCTGCTCGTTGCGGCTGAAAAAGAGCCGAACGACCTTGTCCACCCTCGAGTCGAGACCTTTCTTTTTGTTATCCTATTATATATTTAATAAGAGCTCGAGCTGCAGGTAATATGCAAATAGCCCAGCGGAGTACTGCGCGCGAGAGACGCATGGAGCACCGCGCGGGAGAAGAGAGTTTATGATACTCGTACATTTATAGAACTATTATGAGCGTGGCAAGTAGTTAGACGCGCGCATGAAAAAGCTAATGAGAAATATTTTTTAGCGCGCCTTGTGTATGCCTGCGTTGATATATATACTACTCTCTCTCTGTCTCTGGAGCTCAGCTCGTGCACTTTACAAGCCCTTGCAAAAATATCTTCGCTGCTCGTGTGCGCGCTAACTTGCATTTGCCTCCGCGTGTTGTTGTGCGTACAACGGCATTCCATTATATTAAAGCACTGCGCTCGCGGTCCGGAAGAGATAATTTTGTGTACAATTTTCAAAAAATTAATTTCGCTCGTCTGAATTATCGTTCGTTCGCGCGCCGTGTGTGCAATGAAATGCTTCATAATCGCTGGAAATTAAATTCAAATAATTTCGTTGATTATAATTATGGGGATTTAAAAACTCGTTATAGCAGCTCGAATCACCAAAGATTCCAGGATTATTATTTTTTTTTCTTCCGAATGTAAATTACACGCGTCCGGAGGCTCGTAGCTTGGGTCGCGCGGCTCGCGTTGATTCGTTCGAAAGACGATCGTGTGTCCTTTATGCCTCAGCGCTACGCCGTACGTGTTTTTACCTACAGCACAAATGTGCTGCTGCAGAGAGGACGAAAGACCAAGGCAGACGGAGCAGCAGCAGCTCTCGGCTCTCCAGCAAGGCAAGCGAAATTCAGCTCTCGGCATTATACGACTCTCGAAAAACTTTTTGCTCGACCGAGCTCGTCTCTGCTGCTGCCTCCCTATCGTCCCACCAGCACTTTCTCGCCGGACTCTCCGCGCGCGCTCGGCTATGTTCTCTTTTTTTTCTTTATAGCGCTGGACTTCATCCGAAAGAGAAGAGAGAAGAGAGCGAGAGAGATAGAGATAAAAAGAGAGAGAAAAAAAGAGAGGCCGAGCTTAGCGCTTTGACTCTTGAGCACGGTTAGCCCTGGTATTACGCATTCTGCGAGCCCACTGCTGCGCGCAGATACGAGCGCGCGCGGCATATATATAATACCGGCCCGCGCGCGCGAGTGCTAAATTTTGCGCACGAGACGCGCCCGGCAAAGGCCCGTCTTTGATGACGTCGAGACTCGAGAGTATAAGAGACACGCGCGAGAGGGAAAAATTTTGCTTCACAAAAAGGATGATAGCGCGTGCGCTCGTGCCTCCGTATATGGTTTTCAGCTCGCGCGACTAAGTGAACTTTTCAAAAATTTCAACACTCGCCGCGCGTACAAATTGCAAAAATGTACAAAAGGTGGACGAGATGTTTGTCGAGCGACCCAAAAAACCGGAGAAGAGAGAACGAAAAACAACGACAACTGCACACATACCGCGTCGTATCCGTAAAGATTCATGCCTCGCAAATGTATACACGCGTACAAGTACGAGCCAATGCATCGACGTACGTACGTATATGTAGCAGCAACAGCAGATCTATAAAAACAACGCCGGGCAATAAACCTTATCCGCGCGTGTA